GAATAATATGATGGAATATGGGAGATTATTATATTTAAAATAACACAAAAGCACAATAACTTTAAAAACACTAAATGAATTTATTATTTAAGAAAAACGACTTGGAAGGACCTCTTTGAATAACTATATTTTATACGTGTGAAAATTATAATATCAGAGAAACAATAAGAAAGAAATACAAGGATTTTATTTTGTTAACATGCATAGATCTGATAAAAATCGAGCGGTATATTTTCCTTTGCTCTTGCAACAAATATTAGTATTCATATAACAAATCGGCTGCAAACTTAAAAAATAATAATAATGATAAATGAATTTAATATTACTTTTATTATATATAATCTGTTGTATTATTTAACCCTTTTATTCTCTTTCCTGCAATTTTCTTCAGATTTATTTTTTTTTCCTCACTCGCAATTTTCTTCAGATTTATAGATTTATTTTTTTTTCCTCACTCGGGCCTAATGATACCTTATATTTCATCAAAGTGTATACGCTACTGAGGACTTCTACGGATAGCTTACTGCGCATGCGCTGAGACTGCCCATCATTGCCTGGTGGTCATTTATTTTGTACACTTTCTACGCTATGGTCTTAAATAGTCCGTACTCATATATTATAGATCACTATGTATATGACCACAAAATGAAATATAAATCATAGAATAATATTACATTAATTGTGATGATCAGTACGAAATGTATATGATCTTCATGAAATTATTATACGCAAGGTTTGTACATGTACCCTGCCAAGTGTTCTTAAAACTACTAAAATTTGAAACAGTATTGTATTTCTCATTTATCGATATTATTATATGTTATTTTTACTAACAGACATTTTTCAATGTTTGATCAATATAAAATTAGCAATTGATCGATCGAAACATTTTTTTCGAGAATAATATGCAAAATTGAAATGCAATTTGTATTCTAGATCTCTCATTCGTCAGTGATGCAGGTGCTATATATTTCCAGATGCATCTCGCTCAGCTATTGGTTGCAATTATCAATATAACTGTTGAAATAGCAATTTTCCAAATTCGTAATTTCAATTTGTTTCGTTACCGTTCGCCATACGAAATCCATGTTGAACTTCTAATAAGTTCTAAACTCAGAAAACACGTTTAGACTTCGTTGAGAGTAGAAATACCAGTATATCCGGCTTTATTCAGTCGACAATGGAGTCGAAACGTTATCAGACGCTCTGAAACGTGATGTAACGTTATGTGTATAACATCGGAGCTTATTGACACCGGCATTGGAACACTGCTAGTGTCTGTGTCTGATCGTCATGAACGTTGTTTATATCTGATCGCTTGACAGCTGTTTAATGTTCAGCGTGGTGTGCAAAATGGATTATTTTTTATGAGTGCGAGAAATGCAATTTTCGCTGATCGCATAGGGTTTCTGAGGATGAAATTGCATCGTGGTTCCGATGCGTTGCAACGTGGAAGTGCTCTAGCTTAATTATTGTACATCTCGAATGTTTTCCTCTATTATTTTTAAGTGCGAAACTACGGGACACTTCGCGATATAATGGCAGCTCATAAGACAGGCGGGCAAAGTGCCCGAAAGAAAGTGCAGGTACTTATTCGCAGTATTTCTTTCTGCCTCGAAACGTTTACTACATCTTCCATAATATTTTTTGATATTAAAAAAGAAAGTTTTTGTAGAAGCACAATATGACGAGTCCTAGTGACGGTGGTACGATCGGGCAGCGGGTGATTTCTCGTGCAAAAATATAATGTTGGACAAAAGTATTGGTACAAACCACGTTTTTAGCACGGAATTGCTTAAAAACTTAAAATAAAATATCAGATTTTATTCAATATTTTTATGAAATGTTGATTTAAGTCTATAAATCAAATGTACAACAAGTCATGAATATAAAGTATCTGCATAATTACAAGAAGTAGAAAAATATGTACTGTAAATAGATTTCATTTGGACAAAAGTATTGCCATGCCTTAGAAAATTTATCATTATGAAATGTATTATCTATTTACAATGTTGATACATGTATCCTGTCAAACTTATAGCTTAGCCTAATTGTATCATCATTACTGGGACACCTCATATACATATATATCACTGATTATCAAAGTGGTCCAAGTCAAAAAATCAGAATTATTTTACTTTCCATTGATGCATATTCTAATACTAAATTTGTCATTAGTATTTTGAAGTCCCCTGAATATTAAGAATTAGTAATTGTATTTTTAAAATAGAATATTAACAAAGTTACACTTATAATATATATAAATAGCTATGTTTATAACTTGTTTTATTTCATGTAATTAATTATTTCTTTTATAAAATACATTGTATATTTAATAAAGGTGTCTATGGTTATAAGAGACGAAGTGGAGAAAAGACATAGAGCTGGAGTTAATTCTTTACAATATGACCCAGCTTTGCATAGGCTTTATTCGGCAGGTAGAGATAGCATTATAAGGATATGGAATTGTAAAAATATGAAGGATCCATACATTCAGTCGATGGAACATCATACAGATTGGGTCAACGATATAGTATTATGTTGTGGTGGTAAAAATTGTATGTATCATTCTATCTTATTTTTGAACAAATAAATTTAAACAAGAATTTATCATCAGATAGCATGACCATTACTGCTTAAATAATTTTATTAAACTTGGAAAAATATGATATTTTACAGTGATATCAGCTAGTTCTGACACAACAGTAAAAGTATGGAATGCGCATAAAGGTTTCTGTATGTCCACGTTAAGGACACATAAAGACTATGTAAAAGTTCTAGCATATGCTAAAGATAGGGAGCAAGTTGCTAGTGCTGGGTTAGATAAATCAATCTTTTTATGGGATGTCAATACATTAACTGCTCTTACTGCAAGCAACAATACAGTAACAAGTAAAAATGCAATCAATAATCAATTTTTTCTCCATTTTATATTTGGACTTCATTTAAATGTCTTTATACTTTACAGCATCGTCTCTTAGTGGAAATAAAGACTCCATATATAGCCTTGCCATGAATCAGACTGGGACAATTATAGTTAGTGGTAGTACAGAAAAAGTTTTAAGAGTATGGGATCCACGATATTGTACTAAATTAATGAAACTTCGTGGTCATATGGATAATATTAAAGCATTAGTATTAAATAGAGATGGTACTCAGTGTTTGTCTGCTAGTTCAGATGGAACAATTAAGCTTTGGTCATTGGGACAACAAAGATGTATTCAAACTTTCAGAGTACATAAAGAAGGTGTTTGGGCTTTACTGGTAATTGTAATTCTTTCCTTTATATGATTATTTTATTGACATGATCATTATAATGTAGAACAATAAATTTTAGGCAACAGAAACCTTCAGTCACGTGATATCAGGAGGTAGGGACAAACGAGTTGTAATGACTGAGTTGTCTTGTTACCCTGAAAGGTATACTGTCATATGTGAAGAAAAAGCACCTGTGTTAAAAATGGTTATGACACCAGATCAGTCCAGTATTTGGGTGGCTACTAGTGAATCTACTATAAATAATTGGGTAATGTTATGTTTTATTCTGGTACGAATTAAAACCTTGCAATGATATAAATAACTTTTTAAAATGCATTACAGTCTATAAGTCAAAAAGATTGGCAAGAATTAGGAATTGAAGATTACTGTGACTCTGCCAGTGGAGTAACTTCAAACGTTGTACGAAACACGGAACCTGCGCAAAAAATATTAGGAGGTCCTGCAATTCGGCATTGTCATGTTTTAAATGATCGTAGGCATGTTTTAACAAAAGATACAGAAGAAAATGTAGCTTTGTATGATGTATTAAAAGCACGTAAAGTTGAAGATCTTGGAAAAGTAGATTTTGAACAAGAAATAAAGAAAAGAAACAAAATGGTATATGTTCCAAACTGGTTTAGTGTAGATCTTAAAACTGGGGTATGTAATTTTATGATTTGTTAAAGTAATTGGAACAATAATACATGATGTTAAAGGCGTTTGTAATTATTGCATTCCTGTAGATGTTGACCATTCATTTAGGACAAGATGAAAATGATTGTTTTTCTGCATGGGTCTCTGCAAAAGAAACTGGTCTCGCGGAAAATGATGCGGTTGATCAAAAAGGTAAAAAATATCATTTTTATTATAACATTTGCCTGTGGTCTATTTTTACATATTTTTTTCTTTCAGTGAATTACGGAAATCTTTTATTACAAGCGTTACTTGAACATTGGTGGAGACCACTGCATGCTGATGATGAAAACGAAGGTAATAGTAACGATGGTAATGGTTCAATACACACGAGAGGAGGAAATCCATATTTTTCAGTACCTACTCATACACCTGTTATATTTAGGTACATATTAATTAACACATACATGGTTCTATTAATTGAATCATACACAGTAATAATAATGAAAATACCATCGTATTTTAGCGAAGTGGGAGGAAGACCTTTATATAGATTGTTAGTTAGAGATGCTGCAGGAGAAATGGAGGGCGTTTTATTGAATGAAACAGTACCGGCTTGGGTAGTTAATATTGTTGTGGACAAAAATCTTCCACAATTTACTAAAATATCTTTCTATCTTCTTCCACATGCCACGTCTGGTGTGAAAAGTCTCAAAAAGTATGTTCAAAAATTTTATATCATATATCTTTTTTATATATAATTACAATATTTTTCTTTTTTTTAAGGGATCGCTTAATTGCAAACGATTTTATACAAATTCGTAAAGTAGCCGAACACGTTTGCGATAAAGTGCTTGGCGCAGGAAGTGATTCAGGATCAGTAGCTGGTGCTGGAAATACGGTTTCCGGTGGTTCTCCGGCAGGGGATAGAACGAATACTGATTCGAACGCTGATAATTCTTCGCTGGCCGAAGAAAAAGTAGAACTATTATGTAACGATCAAGTTCTAGATCCTTCCATGGATTTAAGAACGGTACGTTTTAAAATTAGGTAACTTATATGAGAAAATAATGTAATTATATTTAGTTATGATTTTGTGATTTTTAATTACAATTATTTTAACGAATATTAGGTCAGACATTTCATCTGGAAAAGTTCGGCGGATTTAACACTTCATTATCGGCCAGTAAAATAGTTAGGGCTTAGTACGTCGGAACAGGGATCTCTAAAATGTGCCTGGTTTTTTACTATCGTAAAGTAGGTAAATTTTTATTACTTTCTATTTTTAGTCTTTAAAAAATTAAAAATGCAAACGAATATATTTCAGAATAACGGAAGATATGTGGACTAATTGCAGAGTGTGGCACCTCACGCTATCTCCTTTTCATGAAATGTTCAATCGATTTTCGATGGATATTTCATTAGAAGCTGTAACTGAGGATGAATAAAAACCAGGTCACATAAAAAGTATTTAAAAAAAAACTGAATGTGTTTGAAGGCAATAATGTGTGGAAGTATTAGCGTAAATTGCTCATGTTTGTATATATCCTGAGGCCAAACTTGACCTTACGACATAAAATTAGTAATTTCATTTAGTCTGCTTTTAGAGACATGTGTTTTTTGTATTTAGGTATAGAATACTGAATGCTTACCGTCAGCCATTTATAGTCTTCCCACTTCAAAAGTACCAACGAGAAAAGTTAAGTACAAAATATTGTATGGCCCAGGAAATTACTAAGTATCATCTTTAAATGCCATGTTCACGTTATGCTTCTCAAAGCTTCTGTGTTAATTCTACTAATTATTAGTTGTATTCTATATAATTTATAAGTAGTACCATTTCATTGGTTATGCATTCATTGAACAAAATGAAATCTAATATGTACCAACAGTATTCCACACATCTGCCTTGTTGTCTCGAAGAAAGCAAACTATTAAAGAGAAGAGAGAGAAATGTCAATTTAATATTAATCAAATAACGATTGAGCAGCCAAATTAACAGTTCAATATTTCCTATTGATTGCATGGGAAACGACAGTATATTTGTCTTTGGTATGGCAAAATCAAATTCTGTCTTTGGCGAACTTCCATTAATTAAATTTATATTCAATCGATATATATTATATATATCTCTATGTAACTGTTTCAAAATGAGAGATAAAGTATAAATTAAATGACAGTTACCGCTTAAACAAGCATAGCATAGACAGAATTTGGTCTTACGATACAAGTTTAACAGATAAAAAAATATATAGTTAACCGTATGTTTAAATATTCACCCTACTAGAATTCCACAAGTTGTACATATAAATGAGACTGTAAAGTAACGTCCCCCGATCATGGTGATGGGCTGTATAAATAAAATTGAAACAAATATTGTATCAAGAAAAAAAACTGAAGCCTTTACGCCAATTTTATGAAATTGGGATAAACGCTTGACTTTTCTAAAACAAAGAGAGTATACTGTTCTTTATTGATACGGCCCTAAATGTTATAATTTTTGTGTTATTAAAATGACATAGAAAGAATTTTTTAATAAATCTAGAGATTATTCCATTGTTACATTTTAATACGCTACGTGTTGTATAAGTCTATTTATTTGCTAAGCTTTTGTTATGCCTATTTAATAATGTAAACAGGTTATTTACTTACCGCTTAGGTTTCATCTTTGTTCATATATTACGTGTTCTTAGAGCTCTGTGATAAATTTTCTCTTGAGCCAAGGATGCTAATTAAGAGAATGGCTACCAAAAAATAATTGTACATTTGTAGTTAAGTTTGATTCATTTTTATGTTTGTATATCAGCATTATTATATATATATATTTTTGCAAAGATCCAGTAGCAATCATTATCGTGTTTCATCATTTCTTCTTGTTTAACAGGAATGTATTTTCTTAAAATGACCCTCGTTATTGCGACAGGAAATCAACACGTGCCTGATCATAGATTATAAGTTGTAGAGGGCATTTCAATTATGAGCTAATCTATTGATCTTTTGAGATAATACGAATTGTAAGTTATGCTGTTGCGGTGCATAACCATAGAAAATATTTTATCAAAGTCCAGTTTAGTTGTAATTTATAATATTTTATCGCATTTATTTTTATCATCTTAGGTGGTTGTAAATTATTTCTTTCTATTTCAAGCATTGGTGATTTAATGAGATTGCCCTATAATTTATTATCCTGCTCTGTAAACAATCATGTTAGGTATATTTACTTTTTGTATGATATTCGAATTTTTATCCTTTACTGTGCATAATGCGATACAAATTCATCAAGATTTATTATATTATTTAGCTATTTCACGAGTAGGTAATACTGCATTAGTTTTACACGCGAGACATGCATTTCATACAGTATTTATAAAAATTATAACTGAGCCTTCCTCACTAAAGAAATAACATTGTTCATTAATGGAAGTATTAATATATAATATTAAAAAGATTCATAAAAATTACACATTTGAATGTGAGAGTAATTTTAATCAAAACTAAGTATACACCCTGTCTTTTTTAGCAAAGAGACAACGTGAACATTTTCAAAATAAAAAGTTTGTTAATCCTCACATGAATAATGTGAAATGGTGCCAAATTTTATATTTAAAGAATTCCCGTAGTGCACCAATTTCTTTCAACAGGCTAAGAACTTTTTTCTGTAAACTATGTTTTTAATACTAATTTACTAAGTACGATAGTTTTAATATTTATTGATTAAGATTACGTATATTAGGAGAAATTTAAAATCACAATAATTATTTTTGTGGTTTTAGTATGGCATAATGAAAAAGAAAGAAAACAATATCGTCTCGAATACAGAAATTTTTATGATCAAAAATAAAACTATTTAAATAAGAATTATTTTCTTGTAATTTATAAGCATAATTTATTCATAGAGTCATAATAAAGAAAATTTTCTACAAATTTTCTACCATGAGACGATATTCATTTAATCTTTACAAACTGATCTATTCATCAATCAATACGTTGAATGCAATAGATCATGTACTTTATCGCTATTAGAACGAAAGACAAATTTGATATGTAATATTTCATATCAGAAATGAAAGGTACAATGTCGATTTCTTTGTAATTACCGTCTACTTTGTATTGTGAAATTACTCCAGATCATGTACACCATTACAGAATGATTAATATTTAAATAAAATATCTAATTTAATACAGAATAATTTATATAACTGTATATATATGTCCATGTGTATATTATTAACAGCTTAAAGAAATAATTCAATAGTAGGCGTTTATGTAATTATAATCAAGTCTGCAAAGTATGAAAATCCTGTAACCCATGAATTACATGAGTTATGCATATTTTGTAGATTCTAATTTATCTCATTCTTCTTTTTTAAGAATATATTCAACAGCTTGTACAAAAGAGCTGCAGACTTTTGTAGGTGGTGGTTGTATTGTATTTTCATCACCCTCTCTGTACTTTCCAGTTTGTACTAAAAGACCTCTGATACCTATGGCCTGAGCACCAGCTACATCATCTTTGACATCCTAATTTAAAACAGAACTCTTAAACAATCGAAGAAAAACTTGGATGATGATAAATAATGTGTAATAAAATTTTACATCGCCAATCATAACAGCTTCTTCTGGTGGAACATTTTCCAAAGCAGCTTTGAAGAATTCTGCAGTTGGTTTGCCTACAACTTCTGCCTTGACATTGGCAGAATATTCCAACCCAGCAATAAATGCTCCAGGTCCTAAACTTAAGCCATCTCCTCTCTTATAATACCGTCCTTTATGAATTGCTATAAGTGATGCTCCATCTAATAATAATCTATAAATCATAAATTAGTAACTATTGTCATAAAGAACTTGTACATCAAATTCTGTTATACAAATAAAATGTACCTAAATGCCTTATTTAATTCCTCATAATGAAATTTATCCGGTGCCAGCCCAACTACTACAGCATTTTGTTCATTATCATTTTTTATCAAATCTTCGAAATCTTCGTTTGCAGCGGAATCAATTAATAGCATCGGATTTAGTTTCCGGGAAATTATTAATCTTCTCGCTGCAGCCAAGGAACTAAAGATCTCCTCCTTCTTAATATCGAAGCCGAGTTTTATCAATCGGTTGTGTAAAAAATTACTGGATTCTTTCGTTGTGTTTGTAACAAATTTGACTGGTATATTGGCACTTCGTAGCCTGTATTACGTTAATACAATTATTTTATTTTGCCTTACGCCGCATGCATACTTTATATCGATGAAACTATAATGCGATAACATAAACAAAACAGTAATGATAAGCTTTGAATAAAATCATTGCGTTCGATTAAAAGTACGCGCCACTAAATAGAACGCAGTATATGATGCGCAATAACATTCTACTATGATCGTGAAATATTTTTCCAAATTAAATCAAGAAAACCACCTGGTTAGAGCCTCCACTGCACCTGGAATTGCAGTATTATCAATGTGCAATGTCCCACTGAGATCTATTAATACCATTCTTATTTGCTTAGCCATATTTGATACGTTTTTAGTAATTGAATTCACGTAGTTATGCAACTTTGTATTCCTTAATGGCCATAGAGTAAGATGTAGGTGGGCCGAAATTTAGTTCAAATGTTGACGATAGGCGGCGCTAAATGCAATCATAGAATTGCGAATATTTATTCATAATAGTAACGACATTCTATGCTGTACAGTATATTGTAAAAATTAAAAGTGATAACTAACATGGATCCAAGAGATCCACAACGATCCTGTCATTACTTTTAGACCCAACTGTCTAATATTACTAATCGAAAAGCGGCAACAGATCGATAGTGAATCTATGATCGTTAGTAGCATTTTAAACCGGATGGATTGTGGAAATGATCGATTGTTGAATATTTTCGAAGCAATCTTTAATATAGCAACATAGTCAGTCTTACAATAATAAGCCAAAAATACAATCTATATATCAAGTTTCTGGAGGACGGGCGAAACATGTTTTTACTTCCTTTACGTGATACTCTTCGTGGAAATCTAGTTTAGGAGAACTACGTAAGAAATGGTGTTTCACGTGGAAGGGAAAACATACGTATTTTCGTCCGAACCCCTGAAATGAATTTTACAATTTTACACATAATTATATGATCATGTATCACGTTGCGAAACTGTTGTTCTTGTTCTCCCACTATGAATGAAAAAACGTAAGTAAAGATGTAGAAAAGAATGTACATACGCAACACCGCAGTATTTTTCGCTGCGGCAAGGGAATGATATCGTTGGTTTTATTGTTGACGAACCTTCATTGAACTTTAGCTGAAAGATCATAACTTAGAGCTGACCAGTTTTATTACAGGAAAACTGTAATTGAACTCGATCTCGTTCCAAAGAAAGTTTTTATTTTTTTGGGTCGTAACGATACTACTTCACGAAAAGTGTTGTGCATGGTACATGAAACAATGTCTGATAACGGTATAGCAAAACAAAATAGATGCTGATATTCAAAGAAAGATTTGCAATCGAAGTCCGATCTATGGCAACCCTCGGGCGGCGGGAAATTTGAATTTTGTTTCGTAGTATTCTATTAGATTCATGTTGAATTATTTGACTTTAGATTTGTTACCACAATAAGAGGAATATAATGACGTTTGCGCGTTAATGCAGATGACAGATTAAGCTACGTATACACACTGCTTTGTTATATAGAGTTACAAACTGAGTTTCAGCGATGTTCATGGAAAATCGTAAGTGTTTCTCAGAGGACGGGTTTTCGTTCGTTTTGCGTTAGCTCTGATTCTAACACGCACCGTAATCAAAGGTAATGCGCAGGCGCACTTACGATGACCATACTACGAAATTTAAACGAAGAAAAAAATTTGGAATTCTCTTATGATTGCGGACACTTTTTCATTGTCCTAGAGATCGTGCGTTTTCCTTGTAAGCTCAACTGATTAATCTCAAGATAAATATAGAGATAAATAGATATGATTTAAAAAACTTTGTAATAAAATCTTAATAGATTTGTCAGGCATTAATTACAGATGGTCTAGGACCTAGGATACTGATAAGAAAAATTGACCTAACCTAAACCATGACCAGGATTATAGGGAAAACGATCGATACAAATGCATAGAGATATATTATAATATAATAGAGTTATTTGATGAAACATTTAAAGCCTTACAATAAAATATACAGCATGATGTGTATCGTCGCGTGTATGTGTGACTGAGATGTATGTGTTGTGTGAGTGTATCATGTTCTCGCGCAGAGAGGATAATATATTTTACGTCACACGTCGAATTTAATACACGTGTTCAAAAGATACGTCTCAAAATATGCAGTTACGTTCACGATTCTTTTTTTGTTATTTTTCATATTTTTTCTTTTGCGATCTTTCATTTATTTCTATCTTTTTCCCTTGTTCTTGATAACAGACAGAGAGACTGATACATCTTCAAGACGAGATACAGTACTTTGTGTACTCTTGGACTGAGAGACTCGATACGGCAGTAGTAGTAGTAGTAATAGTAATAGTAGTAATAATTAATAATTAATAATAATTAATAATAATAATAATAATAATCATTCTTATAAATTCTTACATTTCTCCGTACCGATAATGATTCGAAGAATGTCATCGACTTACTTTAATATTATTTACTCATTTACTTATATTTATATCTATATATATAATATGTATAGCTCTCCATCATACGCAACCTCTTTTTTTCTTTTCTTTTGTCATAGCGATCTTTCATAATATATAGAATATTTTCGGTATACAGAACTAGTATCAAATTCTAACAGAATCGAACTACGTAAAAATTGTTCCAACCGTTTTCGGAGAGATATGCATTTCACTCTGCATTATAACGCGCTCCTTTTCTGAGCCACTTTACTTTTTCCTACTACCTCTTTCATTTGTTATATTGATCGAGCTAAAATTCTCAAGCTTCGCATCTCATTACACTCCTACAAAATCTTGTTTCTCACTTCATCATCATCATCATCATCATCATCATTTATCATTAGGAAACTCATTCGCCTTTGTTCAACAAGTCGATCGCACCATACCGTGTACTTCTCTCATGTTAAATTATATATGATCATAAATCGAAGATAAAAATAAAATGTCGAAAAGGATTCAAGTAAGTCACGCTCTCTCATTTAATCATATATGCACCGAGATATATTCGATTTCTCACAGAATTCGCACATAGATAAATTAAGGCATTTCATTCTCGTACAATTTCTACCACGAGAGAGTGTACTCCATAGCTGAGCTTCCGTTTATTCTGCTCGTGTCAATTCTGATTAGTTCTAACACTCTGCCGTTGTCAAGGGCAACGCGCATGCGCTCTGATGACACTTGAAACATCGAGCGCATAAATTCAATGACCAGTTAGTACACCCATTACTCATTTTTACTATTATGCATACTTCTATTTATCTAGCTCAGTTACGGTATGCGAAAGGAGTACATTCTCCCATGTCAGAATCCAAACCATAATCAAAACAGATATTGTTATTACAAGATAAAGTAGAGATCTTTGATTTCAACATTATGTTAAAAGCATGCCTCTCAAGATAATAGTCGACCGATTTCAATTGTGAACGTACACTTAAAAACAGACTGAAACATATTTATACAAATGCATTAAAAACAACAGCTTTCTTTACAGAAATTTTAGTGTGTCGTATGTTAAAAAATTGGATAAAAAACCGCACTATCATAAAACGAGCGATAATCGTTGATGAATCGTTGCAGAAGTTGTCAATTATTAAAATTTAGACACGAACACGTGAACAACCGTTTTTAATTAGAAAAATTCAACGATCATGCTTAGAGCGTTTGCAGGCAGTTAGGCGATTTAGTACTTTCATGATTTTTTTTTAAAAACAGATTTATCTAAAAATAACAAAGAGAATATATTCTTCAGCTATCATGTTTAGGCTATCGAATATTAGAAACGGTTTAAGTCTTGTCTCGATATTTGTTATTAAAAAACGCGTTACCGATAGAAAATGGAGATACACGCGGTAAAAAAGTAAAATACAGTCATTCGTTATCCTTCAGCTTTTCCTTTAAACGGGGTTCTCCTTCTTATACGCGATCTCCCCCATTCTCTGCAAAAAGCTGATTATCAGATTATTCATCGTATTCTATTAAATTACAGTAAATGGTACTATTATAGTAGTGTAAAATATTACTGCATATACAATATATATATATGTGTATTGCAGTAGCAATAGTAGTCGATGCAAGTAGATAAAGTAGCGATCTGCTGGCTGCCTCAAACTCATTGGACGATCATACCATTTTTACTCGTTACTTTTTCTTTTTCGAACTATAACGCGTTTGCTATCAACCTCCGCCATACTTTCCATTGCACATACGAGATCATAATTTTTTATCTTACGCATTTTAAAATAAATGAGAAAACTAACGAGCAAAAGTACTCCACAGATTAGTCTGACTTCGGGTCGACTCGGTAAAAATTGGAAGCGTTCAGATCATTGCCTAGCTAACTCGAGAACATCCGACTTCTGCCGAGAGGACACGAAATTTGTGTCGAGGAATCGAATGAAACTTCGCTCGATCTTCTTCGAACTTTTGTCCTGTAGTTTAAACTTTCCAATCAAACGCCGATAACTAACGCGTTAATGCTTTCGATAAACTGAATCTAAGCAAAAGATATTAGCAAAAGAAAAAGCAATCGTCCTAACGAGTTTGTGGCACCCAGCAAAAAGCGTTCTCTCTAAATATACGTATGAAAAATCAATCAATATATGTACGTGTTTTGGTCAGTGTGAAAAAATAAAAATAATAAATTCTTATATTCCGTAAACTACTGTGGACCACGTCGAGATTGATATTTTGCAATTGGTTGCTTTTTCTTTTTGTCTCCCTCTGCCTCACACTCTCTTTTCATTTTTGTAGACACCATCAAAGAGAACTCACTGAGATGTGCGGATATGAATTCTTTGGGGGACGAGACTGTCTCATCGAATCTGATTAAGCATTTGTAAAACTGTTTTCCTTTTCCTCCTTCCTTTTTGAACATAAAAAAAGAATTCCTTCTTGTAGATTCATTTTCGTCTGCACACCATAGCATATTTTCATTTTACAGAGTAGATCGTTTTAGCTGATCGGATGAAGCCTCTGTGCGTGCAGCAACAACGTAGATCTCTCTGAACAGCGAGTAGAATAGTTAGGGTAGTACTTTTTATCTGGAAAATCTTGATGTTCGCGGGTTTTACACATTTTGTAATATTTATATATATATCTATATATATATATAGATTTATGTATATATATACGTATATTAGAATTAGTTAGCGCCGCTAATTCAGCTCGATTCTTTTTCTTTCGAATCTGAAAGCAGAAAGAAGAATCGTCAAATCGAGAAGACATTAATAGGAATGTGAAAAGGTTTCGGAAGTTACGGAGTCAGGTCGGGTCGGAAAAAGTTGGCAGACTGTCATTTGAAGACGGGTGATCAAATTTACAAATACAGAGATGTTTAACTTAGGAACTCAGAAGTGTTATTAAGAAGTATACTGTTCGACTGAAAATCGTAAACATTAACTCAAGTTTCATTGCTCTCCGACAATAAACGAACGTGACCGAGTTAATCAGGAGTTCATACGTCTCGAGTATTCGAACTCGTCCAACTTTTCCCGACTCAAAACCAAAATGTACACTCCCTAGACATCAGTCATTCGATATAACAACCTGACAAATATACAGACAAAACTATTCGAAATACAATGAAATTTGAATATTTCCAACAGGTTCGCTGTGGACAGCACAGAACCGTAATCGTGTCAATTGATCCAGGAACGATACACAAGAAGCTAGAAGTTCGTTCGTTTTATTTACCGCTATCGGATTTGTCTTCGGATGTGCCGTTTGTCAGTTCAGGCTCTTTCTTCTTCTCTCCCTCCTCAGACTCGACGCTCGACGCTTTCTTCTCTTGGCTTTCTTGGCTGGCAGCTTTCTTGTCTTTCGCTTTTCCCTTGGCCGGAGTAGCTGGCTTCGGTTTCGGCTCGAGACTCGGATCCAGCACGATCTTACCGATGTTCTTGCGGTCGTGCATCTTCTGCATGGCTTCCGGCACGTCCTCCAGAGCCCACGTCGAGTCCACTACCGGCTTTATCTTACCCTCGTTCCATAACGCGAACACGCGTTCCACGGCTCGTCGAACGAACGCGTGGCTACCGTGCTGGTACATCAGGTGACGGAGGTTCAGACCGGACAAGGTTTTGTTCTCGTCGAACAGCTTGATAGGAGATACTTTGTCCACTTGCCACCACTGCAAAAACAGAACAGTGTTAGTTGATTATCATGAATTTGGGAAGATTTATATAGACTTAATTCTGTTGATATTGTTAAATATTTAAAGTTGCAAATTTACAAAATTAGATTAGATGAGTTGAGTAGTTAAGTTAGGTTTAGTCAAGGCTGGATGGCGTTAAGTAGTTAGGTTAAATTGTTACATTAATGTTTATCAACCAAACCTGTTTAACAAAAAGTAAGTTCAGTATGGTTAGATTAGATTACTCTACGTAAGGTCCTTTCATTCAAATCTACTAATTTTACTTATTTTTAGATGGATTATGATTTAACCAAATTTTGAAGAAGAATATTAAGGACTGTAATTTGAATGACAGAACTGAATAATTATTTTAATGAAAAGTAAACTCAGTATGGTTAGATGAGGTTGCTCTACGTAAGGTTCTTTCTAAAGTTAGGTTTGATCCAAGTTGGGTGACGTTAAGTAGTTAGATCAGATTATTAAATTAATGTTGATCAATCAAACTGTTTAACAATAGTAGTAAATTCAGTCAGATTAGGTTACTCTACATAAGGTTCTTTCATTCAAACCTATTCATTACTTATTCTCAGGTGGATTATGATCTACCCAAATTTTAAACAATATTAATAAGTAATTTGAATGATAGAACTGAACGATTATAATTAAAATAATGCTGTAGTGATTCGTCTGGTTGTTATAATCCAATTCCTAAGATTATCAAGAGTAGCTCTAGGGAAAAAAGTCAATCACGTTGACGTACTGATCGGGCTGCCGAGAAGAAGCTCTTCGTTTCGCCGGTGACCACATTACTAGATCCATAAAGGATGTATTTCCCCATAGGTTTCAGCAAGGCGTATCCCTTGTTGCATTCTTCGCCGCACAAGCAATCCAAAACTATATCCACGCCCTCAGGAGAGATCCTGTATAAAAGAGAATCGAAACGAGTGATAAAGGAATGCAGCGAGATAACTGACAGAAGAAGCGAGGTAGAAGAGGAGAAATGATGATGATGACTTATGATCGTATAGTACGTACTTCCTGACTTCGTTGGTGTAATCTGTGCCGCGTTCCAAGAGATGGTCAATGGTTCCAGCAGCTTTCAGAGCTTCGTGCTTCGACTTACTGCACACGCCGAAAATCGTCACATCCTTCACGGTCTTTGCCAACTGAACCACTGCTTGGCCCTGAAAGACAGTTTCAAATATTAGTCATCTTTATAGTTTTACAAAGTCAATATAAAAATGTACATTACTACAAGTAAAATAAAATTGTTCCTAATATAAAATTTAATTTTTGACGCGAATTTACAATGAATCTAAAGTGCAAGTGACTGGAGGTGATGTAGTCTATTGAATGGAGGAAACAATTTACTGTGAATGAAGTAAAAGTTGAAAAGATGTGAAAACAAGTCCACCACGTTCTGGACAAAAACACGACAAAAATATTCCAAAGTCAAAGTCACTTCCGTTCTCAGAAACAAAGACGTTTAAGAGTATTCTAACACGTCACACGTTCTCCAATCTCGTAATCCTATGACGGGGCGGGAAGAAGACGTTTTCTAAGGTCTTTTCGATGGCCAAGAAGACAGGACACGATACACACGCCATCAGAAAAAGAAAGAAAAAGAAGAGGAAGAAATCGGGCGAAGCTGCTGGAGATTTTCAACAGAAGCAGCATTCATTATTTCCAAGAATCGAGAGAGCTGACCACGATGCTCTTCTTCTTCTCTTGTGTCTGCAGCTTCGCCTGTTGTCGAGAATTCGATACCCAATAACGTTGACCAATCCCAGCAGGCTCGAGAAGCCAATGAGAATTCGAGGGGAAGAGCAGCAAGAATTTAAGAAAACGAAAAGAAGAAAAAAAAAGAAGAAAAAAAGAGAACGGTCCGAAGGGCCAGAATGTTAAGAAGCCGTTTTAAATTGTACGTCATAAGAGAGGAGCTGAAGAGCTCCGGAAAATGGAGCCTCGTTTTTCTTTCAATTATGAAGGCGGAATGAATAATGGATGATTGAAGGGTAATTTTATCGGTGATGTATTGGATGGATAGATGTTATAGTGTAATAGTTATTTAATGGGAAATTTTTGTGTTTAGTTGGGGTAATTGATGGCAATCGACGTATGGAAATTCCTGTGAGACAGAGGTTTAGAATTTTTGAAGATTCAGTTGGGAAATTTGGGGATTTTCAGGTGATGATTTTGGAAATTTGGGAATTTGGGAAATTAGGGATTTGAGAATTTGGGAATTTGGAAAATTAGGGATTTGAAAATTTGAAAATTTGGGAAATTTGGGATTTGAGAATTTGGGAATTTGGAAAATTGGGGACTTGAAAATTTGAAAATTTGGGAAATTTGGGATTTGAGAATTTGGGAATTTGGAAAATTAGGGATGGGAATGTGGGAAATTAGGGATTTGAGAATTTGGGAATTTGGAAAATTAGGGATTTGAAAATTTGAAAATTTGGGAAATTTGGGATTTGAGAATTTGGAAATTTGGAAAATTGGGGACTTGAGAATTTGGAAATTTGGAAAATTAGGAATTTGAGAATTTGGAAATTTGGAAAATTAGGAATTTGAGAATTTGGAAATTTGGAAAATTGGGAATTTGAGAATTTAGAAATTTGGAGACTTGGAAATTTGGAAAATTAGCGATTTGAGAATTTGGAAATTTGGAAAATTAGGAATTTGAGAATTTGGAAATTTGGAAAATTGGGGATTTGAGAATTTGGAAATTTGGAAAATTGGGGATTTGTGATCAAAATAAAAGAAAGAAAGAAAAAGAATAATAAAAGTTATAAGAATCCAATAAAATACTGTAACATACTTCCGTACCGTTTGTTTTATTTATAACTCATTCAATTAAGATCAGAGTTTATGGTCATAAACCCGCAACATGTTGCAGATATTCGGGGGATATACACGTATAAGGGAAAAATATGGGTTCTCAGAAGGGGGTAGAATATGAAGGGAGAAAAAAGGGAAAATCTGACGCGTGATCAGGAAATGCAATTCTTCCAGCAAAGTGCTTTTTCCACCTTGACTACGTGACTCTGTTTCCTGTCTAAACCTTCTACTACGATGATGTATCGCCTTAACACTGTGGGAATACGCAATTTCGTGTCACCCTAAATAATGTCGTGAACATATTTTAACGCTGGATTAAAATATATTAGGTTAGGTTAGGTTAGATTAACATTATTAAATTAGGGTTAGATTAGTTTTATATTAGGTTAAGTTAGATTACTTATGAAAATTTTATCTGAGATTTAGGTTAGGTTAGACTAACATTATTAAGTTAGGGTTAGGTTAGACTAACACTATTAAGTTAGGGTTAGATTAGATTAACACTATTAAGTTAGGGTTAGGTTAGATTAACACTATTGAGTTAGGGTTAGGTTAGATTAACACTATTAAGTCAGGGTTAGATTAGTTTTATATTAAGTTAAGTTGCATTACTTATGAAAATTTTATCTGAGGGTTAGATTAGGGTTAGACTAATGTTACGTGAGGTTTAGGTTAGGTTAGACTAACACTATTAAGGGTTAGGTTAGTTTAACTTAAACTAATATACTAATGTTATTACAACATTATGAAGTTAGGGTTAGGGTAATATAACATTTTGAAGTTAGAGTAAGCTTGTCTTTATAATAGTTTAAGTTAATTGTTACTTAAATTATTACTTATTAGTCAGTTATTACTGCAGTGTGAAGACCAACATGAAAAATTGAAATGTTAAATATATTTTGAATTTAGACCTCGATCTGCAAAAATGATTTTGGTACCTAAACCATCCGTCACTCGTGTGACTTATTACAAGCGAAAGGGTTAAAGAATGGCGAAAACGGTCGCGTTGGGAAGAGTTGAACAGCCGAGAGGGCACGAGGGCGTTCTTCCCCCGACAGGCGAAGAATTTCTCATTAACGTGTCCGCTCCGAATTCCCCGGTATCCTAAGCTCGGCCAACGTGTCGGATTTTAGCGATTCGCAGGACAATGGCGGCTGACACACGGACGCGTGCTTAGTCGTTCGGTAAACAACGGCCCGGAAGCCGGAGACGCGAAATCGAATTAAAGCTGTTGGTGTGAACGAAGCTTAAGAGAGGCATCGCGCACAAACACGTGGCGACGGTGGTGGTGGTGTGGGTTCGGGGGATATACACGTATAAGGGAAAAATATGGGTTCTCAGAAGGGGGTAGAATATGAAGGGAGAAAAAAGGGAAAATCTGACGCGTGATCAGGAAATGCAATTCTTCCAGCAAAGTGCTTTTTCCACCTTGACTACGTGACTCTGTTTCCTGTCTAAACCTTCTACTACGATGATGTATCGCCTTAACACTGTGGGAATACGCAATTTCGTGTCACCCTAAATAATGTCGTGAACATATTTTAACGCTGGATTAAAATATATTAGGTTAGGTTAGGTTAGATTAACATTATTAAATTAGGGTTAGATTAGTTTTATATTAGGTTAAGTTAGATTACTTATGAAAATTTTATCTGAGATTTAGGTTAGGTTAGACTAACATTATTAAGTTAGGGTTAGGTTAGACTAACACTATTAAGGGTTAGGTTAGTTTAACTTAAACTAATATACTAATGTTATTACAACATTATGAAGTTAGGGTTAGGGTAATATAACATTTTGAAGTTAGAGTAAGCTTGTCTTTATAATAGTTTAAGTTAATTGTTACTTAAATTATTACTTATTAGTCAGTTATTACTGCAGTGTGAAGACCAACATGAAAAATTGAAATGTTAAATATATTTTGAATTTAGACCTCGATCTGCAAAAATGATTTTGGTACCTAAACCATCCGTCACTCGTGTGACTTATTACAAGCGAAAGGGTTAAAGAATGGCGAAAACGGTCGCGTTGGGAAGAGTTGAACAGCCGAGAGGGCACGAGGGCGTTCTTCCCCCGACAGGCGAAGAATTTCTCATTAACGTGTCCGCTCCGAATTCCCCGGTATCCTAAGCTCGGCCAACGTGTCGGATTTTAGCGATTCGCAGGACAATGGCGGCTGACACACGGACGCGTGCTTAGTCGTTCGGTAAACAACGGCCCGGAAGCCGGAGACGCGAAATCGAATTAAAGCTGTTGGTGTGAACGAAGCTTAAGAGAGGCATCGCGCACAAACACGTGGCGACGGTGGTGGTGGTGTGGGTCTCAGACGGGCGCGGCTCGTGACGGTGGTCGATGAGAGAACGAAGGGTTGCCAGGCAACCCTCACACCCCCATGCCACTCCTGGAACCACCACCATCGCAACCCGGTAGCAGCATCCACCGTACAATTTCCTCTCGTCGTCTCAACTTCCAATGCCACCGACAGAGACAACCACCAGATATACATTCCAGTTCATAAGTCACGGGATGCCTTATCCTTTTAGACTAAATCTCGATTGCGTGTTTCGGACCAGCGGTGTGAATACCGGTTACCGCTTCTTTTCCGATATTTAACGGTTAACCCTTCACGCTATCTTTCTATACCACTCTCACGGTTGCTAGCTCTTTTCGTTAATGTACCGTAACATTTTTTGTTAGAAATTACTTATTTTTTTATAGCATTGCAAATGATGGAGTTCAAATGTAAGGAGTAGGAGTTTGAGAATGTAGGGTGTACTAAATTTTCTGGGTGTGATTTTTTTTAACATCAAAATCGAAGCTGTTGAATGATCGTTTTACAAGAACATTTTTGCATTTTAAGTTATGATAATTAAGCAAAATAAGCATGAATTAAATTCAACTTATTTTCTCAACCTTCCATTCCAACTTATTTTCTCAACCTTCGGTCCACGAAGTTAACCGAATTCGTTTCTAACATCTTTGGTATCAATCAACGTCAACTTGTAAATGTGAAAGTTAACTATAGAGTCAGACTAAAAATTAACCATGTACCTTAATGATCACAAAAGTCTTGTGACTACAACGTTATAACTACAATAATTATTACAAAAAATGAATAGTTCAAGTTTCAGTGTATACCAATTTTGATTTTGTGAAATTCGAGAGTCAAAGAATGGCTAGACTGTTGCTCGAGCTTATTACGTGTTTGGAGTTAACGTTGTCTAAACCCTCGAAGTGTAGCATGACTTATGGACGGGGATGTATGCAGTCGGTGGAAGTCTAACCTGTTGAACCGTATTGATCCGGACGTTTCTGGTGCCGCCTTCTCCTTCGACGACGACATTGAGAGAGAAAGCGGTCTGCGGATGACTCGAGCAGACTCGAGCTCGCGAAGGGGCAGTAACCTTGCTCCGTTCTCTTCTCTCTCTCTCTCTCTTTCTCTTGCACACGCTCTTTTTCTTTTTCTCTCTCTTTCTCTCGTCGTGTTCGGCTAATTAGCGAGGAACACGACGATTCACGCCATAGTCTTTTCCTTTAGGATTTTACTCGCTGTTCGCGATTTTCGCAGGAGATAACGAACTCGATAGATTTTCACCTGCTGAGGGGATTTTTTAGCCAAGTCACCGTTATGCTCGGCTTTTATAACGAACACTTCGATGTTGGAACTTTTATAATAGTTTGCAACGGAGATCGAGGTGGTTTGTTACGGTTGATATTCAAAAAATTTGCGTAGAGAAATTCTGATATTGGAGAACGTCGTTTTAGTTTAGAAACAAAATAGGCTAATGAACAAACTCATTGGAGATCTTGGAGTTCTAGAATATTGGGTCTCTAAATTTTTTTGAATTTCCAAAGAGGTGGATTCTAAAATTTTGCAATTTTCAGGCTATGGAGTTTGCAAATTTCAAGACTTCCAGATTATAGGATTTCAAGGCTTTAGGTCTCTTAGAGTCTAGGTCTATGAATTTCTAATGCAACAAAATGGTAGACCCTGAATGCTAGACCCTGAATTGTACAATTTTCAGACACATTCTAAGTCCTAGGATTACTATACTTCAACGTACTAAAGATTCTAAAATTTAATTAAAATGAAATACCTACACAATGATATTCCAACTGACTCCCAACTAAAATAACCTCACTAAGTGTTGCAATAATATTTTTCAAGCTACATTAACATGTTCACAAGTCGAATCTGAATCATTTCACTTAATAGTTAAAGGGTAAACTTACCACGCCACCGCCGGCACTGTGAAGCAGTAAGCTTTTGCCGGGGGTCAAATTGGCCAGATCGAACAGCAGGATATAAGCAACGGTATAGTTCATGGTGATTGCTGCCGCATCCAGGTAGCTCATTCCAGCTGGTAACGCGAAAACGGATGTTGCTGGTACAGAAACCAGCTCCGCCCACGCTTTGTGATCCGGAAGTGCAACCACTCGATCGCCCACCTGAAACAAGTAGCCAAATGTTTCCTGTCAATTAACTCTTCCTTATTTTTATATTACTGTTATCAATTTGTCTTATTATTATTAGGGATGCAAGAATTCACTGAATAAGACGCATCTGGTGCGTCATGTTTTCTTAGAAGACGCATGCGGTGCGTCATGTTTTACTAGAAGACGCATGTGGTGCGTCATGTTTTCTTAGAATAAGACGCATGTGGTGCGTCATGAACTGTTTTTACTAGACTTAGACGCACGTGGTGCGTCATGAATTCTTACCATAAAAAAGACGCATATGGTGCGTCAACGACTGTTATCATAGAATGAGACGCACATGGTGCGTCAGGGACTGTTATCATCGGATAAGACGCACGTGGTGCGTCATGAAGTATTATCGTAGAATAAGACACATGTGGTGCGTCATGAAGTGATGTCATAGAATAAGACGCACCTGGTGCGTCATAAAATATTACTAAATAAATAACACAAGACACACACGGTGCGTCGTATATTGTATTATTATAGACAAGATAAGACATACACGTTGCGTCATCAAGGAACAGAAGAAAACGCATATGGTGCGTCTGCTGTTGATGAAGTACTTGACGCACCGTGTGCGTCGTCAGTTGCATGAAATATAAACATGCTGTCTTATGACTCACACGGTGCGTCATAAATCGTGCTCAATAAACAAGACAAAACATATACAACATGTCTTTGACTGGCAAGGTGATGCATACGGTGCGTCTGAAAGCACGTGACACACCAGGTGCGTCATAAGGTGTGATGAATAGCACACGACGCACAAGATGCGTCATAAGGTGAAACGAACACCACCCGACGCACAAAATGCGTCATAAGGTGCAACGAACACCACCCGACGCACAAGATGCGTCACAAACTACATACAGCATCATAAAACGCGTACAGCAGCCTAAAAGTTTCAACCATCGGCTCTAAATCGTCGAGAATCCTTGAAAGTACGAATAGGGTCACGAAACAGGGTGGTGCATATCGGTCGTTCGGATCGTCGTAAGTAAACTGTCGCAGGCATCTTCCCGGGAGGAACTTTTACAACGTGCTCGAAATAGCCGTTCCGCGTTCGCCTCGTCCTTGAATTTTTCACCCACTAATCTTTCCGCAAGGGTGGAGTCCCACGGTACTTTTCCGAGTCCGTGACTCGAAGACGTCGCAGGAAAAGGACTCCCCTCCGCCCCCGCCTTCCTCCGCCGTTCTTTACCCCGGGGTGGTCTATTTTCGCGACTCGCGAAACTCCTCGAGGTCACGATAAAGAGGAGGGGTTCCCCAGCTTTAAGGCTTTAGGGTCAGATATCCGAGCAGCACGTGTAAACGACCGGCCATGAAGAGAGAAGAAAGCTGCGTAGCGAAGCTTTTTCGAGCTCCTCTCTTCCAGATGGAATATTCGAGTTCCCTACTCCGACGGACGCGCCCTCTTCGAGATCCTCCTCCCCTCGTGCTTCATCGAGTTCTTAGCATTGTTGCGTTTACAAGGAGGCAACCGTTTGCTTCCCTCTTTGTTTTATTTCGTTTATCCGCTTCTTTATGGGATAATCTCTTTGACGCCAGAGGTTCTCAATCGAACGCTTTTAGGAATCGATTCTCTCAGAGATATACATCTATACAACTGTAGAATAATCTGCAGTTATCTTGAATTTTTCCATTATGATAGACCTACTCTATTGTCATAAATGATATAATACTTTGTGACGATTTAACGCTGGGCGAGTTGTCTGTCTGCGATTTTCATATATGCAAGTCTGAACATCACATATGCAAGTCTGAACATTTTTCAACACCAATTTCTCAAACTTCGGAGCTTCCATATTTAAAAATCTCTTAATTCAAAATATTTTAAACAGTTACATTCCCTAGTTTTTGCATGTCCAACTCACCAAATAAAAAATGAAGAAATAATACGACTTCATTCCCGCAACCACTCGTTTCTCCAGTGAAGTCTACAATCTTCATCAACGTTACTCCACAATATTTCATTTCGTTCTTTTAATAGATCACCCAGTATGTCTTCGCGTCGCTAACAATCCCATAAAATATGTACGAGTGTGGCGTAGTGGGAGGAACAGAGAAGTAAAGAGCATTTGCTCGATATGATAATAAATGCAAATTGAAGCGAGCGTAACTTTTTTTTTCCCTTGTACCGCGTAATATCCTCGCGTCGATAGTTATTCCTTTGAACCCAGACCGATTCCCATCGATTTTTCCACGGTTCGCCACCGGGCGAAGGAAAGACGACACGACTGTGTAATATTTTTACCAGGAACACGTCGCACGTTTTTGCCCCTAGGAAAAATATGGCGTCTACGAAAGAAAAGCGTCGTCACCCAACCGGACAGACCTTATTATCTTGTCAAATCGCGTTTCTTTTAAGATGGCCCTCGTTCGCTCACCGTTACCTGTTCTTATCGTAAAAAGGTTTTCAAGGTCGGACATTTTCATGGTTATTTGGTTTTTAACCCTTGTGTTAATATAACCGGGTACTACACCTTTTCATGGTGACATCACAGGAATTTATGTTGCAGCTAGAATAGCTGTAGTTTTATATTTTTAATAGTAGGATACTTTTTTAGGGAAAAATAAGGGGGACTTTGGGATTTGGTATGGGAGGCAGAATTTTGGGATTGAAAGGTGTTTGAAGGGTTTGAGGATTTTGGGAATTAAGGGTGTTACAATTTTGCATATTATGTGTTCCTGAATATTTTGGGATTTGGGGAAATTGGGATTTTGGGGTCTGTGAATTTTGGGACTTAGGGGTATTCACATTTTGGGACTTAGACATATACAAATTTTGGGATTTGAGAATTTTGGGATTTAAGGTTTACTCACATTGTGGGACTTGGACATATACAAATTTGGGGATTTGAAAATTTTGGGATTTAGGGTTACTCACATTTTGGGATTTAGACATATACAAATTTGGGGGTTTGAGAATTTTGAGATTTAGGGTCGCTCACATTTTGGGACTTAGACATATACGAATTTGGGGGTTTGAGAATTTTGGGATTTAAGGTTTACTCACATTTTGGGACTTAGACATATACAAATTTAGGGGTTTGAGAATTTTGGGACTTAGGGACTTGAAAATTTTGGGGTTTGAGAATTTTTGGGACTTAGGGTTACTTCACATTTCAGGACTTGATAATTTTGGGGTTTGAGAATTTTGGCATTGAGGGTTACTCACATTTTGGGACTTGAACATATACAAATTTTGCAACTTGTGAATTCTGGGACTTAGAGACTTGAAAATCTTAGGGTTTGGGAACTTAGGAATTGAAAGGTATTACAACTTTGAGACTGAAAATATTGAGACTTAGCAGCTCACCAATTTTCAACTTTGTATTTTTTGTAAGTTTGAAACATTTAAGTTTTGATATCCTAAGATTTTAGAATGCAGGAATTTTTAAATTTTTAGATCTAATTCCGAGATCTGCAGAAATAAAAATTTTTTAATTTTGAAACTTGAGATTCCAAATTAGGGTTAGTAAAACGACTCTCTCCCTGGAATCTACTAATCTCCATAAAGTCCTCTAAAACTTCTCGAAATTAGCACATCCCAGGCTCTCCCCAAGACCCATAATACTAGAACTCACTTAAGAAACTAATTTTGAACCTATTCCAGTATAATATAACCAATCTTATAATTGAAACAACATATTGTTCGTCAGAAATCTCTGTGTAGACTGATTATTTGTGCTAGATTGATACGTATTTGTCCTCAATTGATAGGATCAGTTTTATCACTTTATCTTCCCTCGTAAATCCAACGACCCTTACAAGGTGACCCGATAAAAACTGCCACGCGCATTGTCAGCACAAAAATTTATTATTCAGACGTTTCAAATTTACAAATGATTAGATAACCAAACTATCAAACTATTTGTATAACAATTTACTAATAAATATGTACACATAAGTGTTCAAATCATGCGAGAACATTTTCTCTTCAAAACTCAAAACTCTCACTACTATAACGTGTAACAAAAGTTCCTCAGTGGCACTACTTTCAGTAGTGTTTGAGACGCACTCTTTGTGATCAATTTTACAATACAGAATTTTCAATCAATTTGAAACTCCAGTTTGGAGTTCAAGTCCAATTATTTTCCTAGTTGATTGATATAAAATTGGCATACTTCAACTTTCTTTGTTTTAATATTGTACCTGTGATTAGTTCTAATTGACGCACCAGACAAGTCATAGGACAAAAGGTTAAACTGTGGTTCGTGAACCCCAGGCGATTCTTGTAACAATTTTAAAATTAATTTCACATCCCCAACTTTTGCCTTTTATTCAAATAACTTTAATAAAATCCTACATAATTCAGACCATGTCTATGTTTTTCTACCTCTCTCTTAACAAGTTATCAACATAACTAAATAATCGAACGAGTTCAAAAAGAATGTTCAAGAGGAGGTCCTTGAATCACCCAAGTTTAAGAACCACCACATAAAACATCTCAATATATCAAGTTAATATTTTTTCTCAGAATTTTTATTTCGCGCCTCAAGAGCCGCATTGACGTCAGAATAAAAATTCGCTATTTCAATACTTAACGAGATCAGAGTAAGTCTTGAATTATTTATCGAACAGACGCAGTGCTATCAGTTTGTTAACACAGTGATTACATTCACGGTTCCTTTTGATCATAAACCCGTAAAGATTTCATAAAAATAGGGAATAAATGCATAGAATTTGTCGAACGATAAAAAAAGTTGGTTCGTTTACTCACTTTAAAGTTCTCCACGCCCTCGCCAACTTGCTCGATGTCACCTGCGCACTCGGATCCCATAATAAAAGGAGTTTTCGGCGGGGAATCGATAGCACCCTGTCTGGCCATCAGGTCTTGGAAGTTCAATCCACTGAAACAGCAAATACGAGTTTCACGTTAATTTCATTGCTATCATCGACTCGATTCACTGGGAAATTTTTTTTATATTTAATTGTATGGAAGTAGTGATTGTGTAGGAAGTATGAGAGGGTGTGAAATTAGGGTAGATGGCAATTTTGGGATTTGGAAACTGGGAGTTCGAGGATTTAGAAGGTTTTGAACTGTGGATTTGAGAATTTGGGAAGGCGGGAATTTTGAACTGGGAAATTTGGGAATTTGAAACTTTGCAAATTGGAAATTTTTTAATTTGGTAGTTTTGGAATTCGGTAATTTTGGAATTTGGAAATTTTTGAATTCGGTAATTTTGGAATTTGCAAATTTGCAAATTGGAAATTTTGGAATTTGGAAATGTTGGAATTCGGAATATTTGGAATTTGGAAATTTTGGAATTCGGAAACTTTGGAATTCGGAATATTTGGAATTTGAAAATTTTGGAATTCGGAAACTTTGGAATTCGGAATATTTGGAATTCGGAAATTTTGGAATTCGGTAATTTTGGAATTCGGAAACTTTGGAATTCGGAAATTTTGCAATTCGGTAATTTTGGAATTCGGAAACTTTGGAATTCGGTAATTTTGGAATTTGGAAATTTTGGAATTCGGAAACTTTGAAATTCGGAATATTTGGAATTTGAAAATTTTGGAATTCGGAATATTTGGAATTCGGAAACTAAAATTTTGGAATTCGGAAATTTTGGAATTCGGAAACTTTGGAATTCGGAATATTTGGAATTTGGAATATTTGGAATTTGGAAATTTTGGAATTCGGAAACTTTGGAATTCGGTAATTTTGGAATTCGGAAACTTTGGAATTTGGAAATTTTGGAATTCGGTAATTTTGGAATTCGGAAATTTTGGAATTCGATAATTTTGGAATTCGGTAATTTTGGAATTCGGAAATTGTGGAATACGGAAATTTTGGAATTTGGAAATTTGCAAATTAGAAATCTTGGAATTTGAAAATTACAAATTGAAAATTTTGGAATTTGGAAATTTAAACCTAAAATAAGCAAATAAAAATCTGTCCTATAAATGTTTATTTCCCACCCCAAAATACTAAACAATATTACACCGTCCATAAAGCAACATTAACGATAAGATGACAGTGCATATCGATCGTTCGTCTCCCTAAGAATCAGTAAGTTTGCACGTGCAATTTTGAAGCGGGCGGTAGAAGTTGCAATTGCGAATACGATCAATAATAACGTTGCCTGCGTGACGGACTGATTATTTTATAATGCTCTACTACAGACGAGTAAATTATCTGAACGCGTGTCAAAAGATAATTACTGTCGCAATAATTCCAGTTATCGTAAAAATGGAAAGAATAGAGGGGTAGTGATATATATTCGGTAAAATGGACTTTATCGACGAGTCATTTCCGAATACGTACCGTGGGGTGCCGGGTGCACACGATTTTAACTGGGTTTATCCGGTAATTGGATCGAAATTGTCGCGTAGTTTTATTCTGATATCAAACGAAATTACAAAAAAATGACTATAATCACGGTACGATGACATAATAGTAACATTAGGTGATATTACCATATCACTTGTAGTTAGCTTATTGTTAGTTATAATGGCGTATTTATTTATCGCTGTTATACTATTATGGTTGTAGGTGACATTTTTTACTATTCTCAATACTTATATCGCTACATTTTATTCTGGCTATAAACAGTTATTATTTTATAGTATTATAGTTACATGAATAGTTTATATTTTTATACTGTATTATTATAGTAGTTATTTGTAGAAGAGTGTATTAAATGGTTGTAGCAGATGGTTTATAAAATTATGTTTATACGTCATGATAGATAGTGACTACCACTGTAATTGTAGCTACTAATAGTTTTATGTATACATGATTATATTAAATATTTTATACATACATGACTGTATTAAGTACTTTATACATACATGACTATATTAAATACTTTATACATACATGACTGTATTAAGTACTTTATACATACATGACTATATTAAATACTTTATACATACATGACTGTATTAAGTACTTTATACATACATGACTATATTAAATACTTTATACATACATGACTGTATTAAGTACTTTATACATACATGACTATATTAAATACTTTATACATACATGACTGTATTAAGTACTTTATACATACATGACTATATTAAATACTTTATACATACATGACTGTATTAAGTACTTTATACATACATGACTATATTAAATACTTTATACATACATGACTGTATTAAGTACTTTATACATACATGACTATATTAAATACTTTATACATACATGACTGTATTAAGTACTTTATACATACATGACTATATTAAATACTTTATACATACATGACTGTATTAAGTACTTTATACATACATGACTATATTAAATACTTTATACATACATGACTGTATTAAGTACTTTATACATACATGACTATATTAAATACTTTATACATACATGACTGTATTAAGTACTTTATACATACATGACTATATTAAATACTTTATACATACATGACTGTATTAAGTACTTTATACACATGTGACTATATTAAGTACTTTGTACATACATGACTATATTAAGTACTTTATACATAAATGATTACACTAAGTATTTTATGCATACACGATTAGATAAAATATTTCCTACCACCGCAACTGTGGTAGCAACAGCAAATGAAGTAATACAATATTGCATTATGCGAATGCAGTTATTTGGGGAAAGGAAAAACCAGAAGCAGTCGATGAAACAGATTTCCAGGGAATACGCATGGTACCGTTTTTCCAGGAAGGTGTACGAACGTCCAAGCAAGGAGGGCTTTTGATAAAGCGTATTTCATGGTCGACATCGCGAGAGGCACCAGTCGCACGTTGCGTGTGACGCCAGGCGTCGGAGTCTAGGCGTCGTGGCGCCTGGACGTTACCCCTCCGTCTGTCAGTGGGATCGTAACGCGTAGGGTAAGAAACTCGAAGGTAACCGCACACGTGTATTCCGTATATTTATATTGCATGCTCTTCAAACTTTCCATTTCAGCCTGTCGATCTACGGGGTGGAGAAAGTGCAAGGTTCACGAATTTTATTCTGGATGTTCTAACTTGGCACAATTTCAATCACGTGTACTTTTTTATTTCACATCTAATTTGACATGTAGTAATCATTTGCGTTTAAACTTAAAAATGACTGAGTCATTTGTATATATTATTCCGAATTAAAATTGCGAGCAAAGATAAATCTAACGATGAAATTTCATGTTACTGGCACGTTACCATTGATCGATATCTTACTGTCGATAACATTTCGATAGCGGTCAACGTATCAACACAGATTGATGACGGAAACGCTACTGTACATTTTCGCATAGGATGCAATTTGCTTAACGTAAATTGGCGACTAATTAAATGTTACTAGCGTTCGCAAAGAAAGTACTGCAATACAGCGGGGAACTCGAATGCACAAAAAGAAGCCTTAACTGTGGTATTCGACAGTTTCCTGCGCCAGTAATTTTAGGCTTCAACGAAACACGATGATAACATCCCGGCCATATGACTCACTCGGTTGAATGTAAATAACGTACAGAAAAGCAGCGTATCAGTTGCCTTTTTCTCGGTGCAATTTACTCTAAGATGTATCATCGAATTTTATCAATTACAAACGCGTAATTTCCTGTTAACAATCACTGTAATGAATCACGGTACTCGAAACAGAAAAAACATGGTGCAAGGTCGTACATCCAGCGTGCATTCAACGATAATACTCGAATATTTTCTGTTCAATCGCATACGGTAATTATATGTTTAGCATGTTAGCATATGGTTAGTGTATTGCGAACGATTGAAAGATTTTGAAGACGTAACTTGATTTGGAGATGTAGCAGTATTTTAGTAAGTATTTAGAGTTAAAATATAAGATGAAAAATCAAACATAATTATTTAAAAGATTATTACATATGTAAAACATGTGTTCTATACTGAAGCACATTCCTAGATTCTTAGCTGTCAAGATCTCCAAATATATATATCCTTATATTGGTATATCACTAGACTATGATATCCCAAACATACCTACATTCTGAAATCCCTAGATGCTGATAGTTATTTGAAAAAAATGATTAGATATATTCCTAGGTTCACAAACCTCCTACGGTCTGAAGTCCCTAGATATGCAACAGCGATGGATTATGAAAGCAACTACATTCAAAAGTCCCTAGATTCAAATATTCTCTAAGACAAAAATTCCCCACATGGTTAAGTACCCCGGGATTTAAAAAATCCCCCAAACTTCCATAAATCTCCAAATTTCCCAAAAATCCCCCAAACTTCCAGAAATTACCAAATTTCCCAAAAATCCCTAGATTTTATAAAAATTCCCTAAATCCCCGAAACCTCCCCAAATTTCCCTAGACTACTGAAAATTCCTCGGATTTCCCGAAAAATCCCTAGATTTCCGAAAATTCCCTAGATCTGTCAAAATCCCTAGATGACGATTTTGCAGAGTCCGAAATTGGTAGATTCTCAACATCTAAAATATTTCTAGATCCGAAAGTCCCTAGATCTCGAAATCACTATTTTCCAAAAATCCCTAAATCATAATATTCATAGTATCTAAATTACCCAGGTTTTGATGTTTCTTAAGTCTCCAAAATCCCTAGACTTCACTGTTCAGTCCTATCACAAAAGTTACTAAATATAAAAAATTCCTAAATTCGTACGCAGTTATAAATTTGCCAAAGTATAATGTAATTTAAGAATAATATGTCGGAACGAATTAAAAATATTTCAATTATCATGGAACGATAAAGATAGTATATCAATATCACGGTTAATATCCAGTATTTAAAGAGATCAGTTACCTATATGTAGTACATAATTTCATTTAGTTCGTCGAAACATAAGCCGTATAATTCAACAAGTTCCTCGAACGGGTTTGTTCAGAACCGTGAACAAAGGTTCATTCTTTTCGTCGAGAAGTTCGATGAAA